TTTGCATTTCTTTTATCCCATGAACACCTTCTTCTCTTCCTTTTCTCTCTTTCTCTTTCTCTTTCTTTTTCTCTTTTATTCTTTCTGTTTTTCTTTTTTTTTTTCTTCTTCTTCTTTTTTTCTTTTTTCTGGTGCAAGTTAAATGTTTTGTTAATTGGCTCGTTAATTAGAGAAATTTATTCCATTCGAAGTCGTATATGAAAATTCTCAATTATACGATAATAATAAAATGAATAAAAATAATGTGTAAATGTCGTAATTAAAAGTTAAGATTTTTTCCTAATGTTACGATTTAAATGGATCACCCTGTATATATATATATATATGTATATAGGTATGAATACGAAACTTGGGAGTTCATGATATTCACGTCCCGCATAAATATAAACATCCGAAGTCTCTAAACTTTCTTGACGTTGCACACGTTTCTTATTCTTTTGGAATATATATATATATATATATATATATATATATATATATATATATATGTATGTATGTGGGTGTGTATGTGTATATGTGTACACGTATGTATGTATTTATATAGATACGTATCTAAAAATCGCACAGGAAATGTGCCATCGATTCGTTATTTCACATCACTGAAGGAAAACGAAAAACGTTAGAATCGTTAGAAAAGATTGGACATTTTTTTCGAATTGGATAATTCTTTTCAAATTGGATAATTTTGTTCAATTAATAGGTGAAAGTTTGAAAAGTAAATTATTATTCTCCTTTTAGTCTTCTTTCTTTTTCTCTTTTTCTCTTTTTCTTTTCTCTTTTTTCTTTTTTTTCTTTTTTCTTTTCTCTTTTTTCTTTTTTTTCTTTTTTCTTTTTACATAATTCACAATTAATGGAAATATTCGATTTGTATTAATAAAATCTGTTTTATGCTTTTTCTTTTTTTTTTTTATAAGCATAGTGAATTTTTATTTTAATGATATAGGATTAATTCAATATAAATAAATTGTTATATTAATATTGTGAAGTATTTATTAATAATGTTATAATGATATTTATAAAAATATAAAATATATATATATGTGTATATATTAATAATTAAAAATATTAAAATAATAATTCATAAGTGAAGTATATTTATTAATGGAAAAATATTTGTTACTTATGAAAATAATTTATAAATAAAATATTTGTACCAATAGTAAAATATTTCTCAGATTACTAATTATTGATAAAGTATATATTAATATATATATATAATAACAATTGCTAATATTTACATGCATATATATATAAATATATATATATATATATATATATATATATATATATACATATGTATGTATAAAGTATTTATTAATAGTAATATAGCTATTACCATTACTAATAATTTGAAAAGATGATTAGCGTAATTAATTAAAACACAGCATGTAAAATCTTCAGAATACATTTTCAAGTTCTTTGAGTTCGAATATCAGATTTCTCTCTCTCTCTCTCTCTCTCTCTCTCTCTCTCTCTCTCTCTTTCATTTGTAACAACGCCCTTTGCTATCCTCTATCATTGAAAGTTATCCCTCTATGCATTTTCCTACTATTCAACAAAGTACTCCCAAGCGAAATAAAAAACAAGTGCTTCACTTATACTGGACATATCTCAAGAAAATTTATTAGGGAGAAAGATAAACAGAGAGAGAGAGAGAGAAAGAGAGAGATAGGGGGAGAAAGAGAGAGAGAGAGAGAGAGAGAGAGAGAGAGAGAGAGAGAGAGAGAAATAGATGAAGAAATAGAAAATGTTATTTTATTATTATCAATATATATATATTATTATTATTATTAATATACATATTATATTATAATAATAATATTATATAATAATAATAATAAAAGTAATTAATAATAATAATGTAAATGTCATTACTCAAACAATAATTAATTTTTATAAATAATAATAATAATAATAATAAATAACAATTATTATTGTTATTATTATTCGGTAATATTTATAAAATATTCGAGAATGTTATTGAAAGTTTCGATATTATCTCTACGATCTATATAATTGATCTAGCTACTGTGACACAATTAATTTCAGATTATTTTGTGGTATCTTCAAAGGTTGAACATTAGACAGAATGGGAAATCTCTTTATAAACTTCATCCTGGTAGACAGGAGGGAATAGAGAGAACAATATATATACATATATATATATATATATATATATATATATATATATATATATATAATATATATAAAGAGAGAGAAAGGTAGGGAGAGAGAGAGGAAAACGATTCTCTTCTGAAGTTTGTACTCGGAAATGGTTCCTTTACGAGGCATTTGTGTAACATTCACAAGGACCTTTCGAGATACGATCTGTTCAGGTTGGTAAAATTAAAGGACTCTTCCGGATAAAATCATACGTTATATTATATTTGGATTTCATAAGAATAGGAACGCGCATAAAGCCAGTATGTATATAACAGTAATGTTACGTATGTGTGTATATCTATAAATATATATATATATATAGATATATATATATAGT